TCTTATCAGTAAAGGTATCAGGTTAACTTATCGTGTAGATGTCATGATCATAAACTTTGGGATACTAACACAGTTCTTAATTAAGAATTCACTACTATAAATTATCATCCTTTTGCATGATTTTCTTTTTATTTTTTATTTTTTAATGATCGGGGGTGTTGGGGTCAGTTTACGCGCATCCAACTAATCTCTCGATCAAATAAGACTCTAGTGACTACCCTATTAGCAACCGAGAAGGAACTTGAATTCAAGACCTTTTAAATATACATCCAAAATTCTTATTGAACCATTCAGCCACCCAAAGTAATTAAATTTAATGAATTGATCGTTAAATGGATTTTCTTTGTGTTTTTGTATACCGATCGTCACAGTCTAAAATTAAACCTAAATACTGTAGTGCGGTAAGCAGGATCGAATCCACGGGAGTAAGACTAACAACCTAATGTATTTTAAGTAGCGGAAATGAAATTGGCAATGGATTAATGAAACTAATAGACTAAATGCAAATAATGAAATGTGCAATTAAACTAATAAAACTTTTAATAAAAATGTTGCCGTTACGGTTTTGGTTCGACACGAGATTGACTCACACAATTCTCCTCTACCCTCTACGATCCCCTAAACCTACAAGGCAAGGTAAATCAATGAAATGGTTTCCCGACACTCTGTATAATCTATCCTGTCTACCCGATCACTCAAGTTCGATTGGTTAAAGACTATCATTGAACGCGTAAACGCTACAAGGCAATACCACTAGTTGTACGCGATTAACAAATACAATCTTTCAACACGTAATATCCAATCAACCAACTTCACAATAAACGCAACATAGTAGAAATTAAATTAATCCAAACACAACCAATTACAATCGATGCAAAGTAATGTAAGCAATATTCATCATTTAATTATTCACAAACCAACTTTATCATTCAGCAGTTCTATGAAAACATTAAATCACAATGGACAACAATATCATCACAAGTTAGCCAAATCATAGCCCAAATCATATTAAGTACGAAATCAATCATGAAACGAAAACAAATATAATCCGAAGCACAATACTACCAATGTCCTATAATCGAGCTCATCCAACTAGTCGAGAGCTGATGAGGACAGTCGTGGAGTCAACCCGATCTCGCCTATGCCGTAACAGACAACCGGGCTTAGCCGCTCTGGTGGTGATGACGGAGGCCGAAACGGTGGAAACGGAGCTGACCTGGCGGAGAGGAGGTAACCAGCGATATGTGCGAAAAAAGGGCGAAAACGACCAACGGACAGCCCCGGAACACGAACAGCCGCGGTTCGCCGGAAACGTTAATTTCCGGCGGTCTCCGGAAAACGGTGGCGGAAATGGGATCCGAATACCGATGGAAAGCTCTGGTGATGGGGAGTTCAGATCAGGTCCCGGGGAGGTGAGAAGTCACCAGAAATGAGCAGGATCTAGCCTGGAAGATGAAGAGTCGCGGCGGCTAATCACGGATTCCGCGGTTTTCGCGGCGGCTGAAGCAGAGAAGTGTAGATACGGCTATGGGAATGAAGATCTACCCTGGGGAGCTGGAAAGTCACCGGAAATGGCCAAAACTGGCCGGAAGACGAAACGACGCGGTGGAAAGCGAAGCGTTGGCGGCGTGGTGGTTGGCTCACGGTGGTGATGAAGCGATGATGGTGACTGTGGTCAGGAAGCCGAAGAGTCGCCGAGGTGAAGACGAAGGGTCGCCGGAGGTGGGAAGACGAAGGGTCGCCGGAAAATTCTATCGATGGCAGCCTCCTGTTCACGCGATCTGAGCTTTTCTTTTATAGTGCATATTGCAAATTTAAGTTTAGTCCCTACACAATTGAAAAGTGACAAATCAGCCCCTTAAAACATGACATTTTACCCCCTAAACAGCATAAATAGACAAAATCACCCTGATCCATAAACCACAACCTAAATCAACTCATATATTTCCAAAATCATTCCAAACACATTAGATTCATAAGAAAAAAAATATTAGAACGATTTTCGTGAATAATCTAAATTCTTTAATTGTCTCAATATACTTCAATTTAATCACAAATGGGTATTTTTATCACCAAAATAGAGTCACTTTCATGACTCTAACGTTTTCAAACTTGTAATTTTTATTAATAGTTTTGATACCAGTGGCCTTTTATTGATAATCTCCCTTGTTATATATTCTATTCTTAAGAAATATGTGTTTAAAATTTTTGTATACATATTAAATTACTAACCCATCAACTATAAGTATTTTGTTCACATATTATATATTTAATCTATCTAATTAAAGCAAAATCCTAATTACAAAATTATTATATATATCAAATAAAATACTTTGTATTTGCATGAGAGATCTCTTCATATATTGCCATGCTGGTGTGAAAGACCATCCAATTAACATTTATCACAAATTTCTAAATAAGTTATATATAATTAACTAGTAAGTCTACAATATCGATAATAATATTGGTATTGAAGGAACATAAAACTTTTTAAAAGACCAAATGAATGTAATATGAAACATCAAAATTGTATTATGAATGAAAAACTTAAATTTGCCTATGAGAATACGATAGATCTTGTCAATTAAATAAATAAGTATCTACCCAAAATGAAAATGATTATTACTTTTATTATACGACAACTACATTCAAAACCAATCATACCGTTCACCCATGACTGATTATCATTACTGAAATAGAATCCTTCTTCTCTCGCCGACCAAAAGCAATTTCCAGTACGACGACAAGTTTTAGTTTCTACTCCACTGCGAAAAACATCAATCGTCTTCTTGTTCAATCCACATCTCATGACACACCAGAAATGCGTAAGCCTCAAACATGGTTACCAAACTACACTTAAATTCATTGTTCATCCAAAGTGTATGCTCTCCGAGATCATCATCGTTGGAATAGCAATGAATTATCAGAGGATTTTCTTACTGCTAAGGCCATTTATGATGTACTTGAACTTAATGCGAATAAGCCTGTCTTCATCAATGCAATGTTGAGGCTGAAAATTGTAAAAAATAATTAGGAAAATTATGAAGAAGAATTGAATCCAAACACTATTAAATATCATGATGAATAAATTGCAAATGATTGTGGTGTTTCCAGATATTGTTTTGTAAACTACATATGAAGGAGTTTATAGAAAAATTAACTGAATTTCATAAATTAACAATTATTTTATGCCATGTAGCATTGCTTGAAAATAAATGCAAGAGTGACATATATGTATGCATGATTGACTATGTTAAAGAGAAGAATTTTAAAATGGCAAGTAAGTTTATTACCATTTAAAGAATTTAGATTACCTTCTTAAAAAATATTATATGAATGAGGAATAACACCAAATAAAAACAAAACTTTTAGATAAATAGAATAGACATAACTTTAATCTATCCGATAAAAATATTATTTATACGTACTTTATCTTAAATATGAAGATTTATTTCATTTCCCTCATGAAATCGCTTAATATGCAAAATATTCACTAATATTGAAATATTAAGTACAGAGGGATTTTAATACTTTCATATAAAAAAAAAAAAATAGAAGAGTTTTAGAAGAGATATTTAATTTTTTCAATAATAATAAATGTTTTCCTATAAGCAATCTCTCATAGGATAAAAGGAATAACAATACTACTATTATAGATACAAATCATCTTACAAAAAATGTGACATAAAATGAATAGAAAATGAAAGAAAACTTAAACCTATTAATGTAGCTGAATTTTCTTTATACGTAAATTTTTGTAATAACATTGTATGTGTAGTAGTAAGTCATGTACTCTTGAGGTAAATGGACTATGGGATGAGAATATGATTCTCAATCCCTTCGTTTAGTTCATAGAAGTGGTGTAAGGAAATAGAATCTATTCCTTAAAAAGGGTAGAGTATCATTCCTTCCAAATTGGAGATGACATCCATTACGAGTAATGAATGTTAAAATATGAACTTTATCCCTTTTTAAATTCTAATTTCTCATTACACCCCTAAAGAAATCAATTTAAAATTTATTACGAACTTATTTTTTAATAAAATCTTTGAAACACGCCGTTTGGTCCACACAAAAGGCCAGCAAATTCAATTGACCTTTCCATGTCTATTTAGTCAAGTGGGAGAGATTGAATGTGGACCTATCATTGCACTAAATGAAGAAAAAAGCATTTTACAACCACAACCAACTTATAAATTAAACAAACAAATAAATTATTCTTCTAAGAATATATGAGCTAAGGTTAAACTAATAAAATACAACTAATAAATATTTTGCAATTATAATAAAATGACACATAAATAATTGATAAAAAAAAAATTAATATTAAAGATATTATACTATTTACACCTAAGAAACAGTATACTTTTTTTTTAATTATATTAAACTATAAATATTCAAAATATTTTTTTATCTATACTTTCTCAATTATAACAAAAATAATAATAATAAATTATAAAAATATAACATAATAAAAATAAAATATTTTGTTTTAAGTCGTTAAAATTTTATTGGACAACATTAATATAACCCCAATAAGCAAATATTTTGTTCCGATTCGATACAATTTTTTTCGAATATTATACGATACTTATTCCAATTTTCACCCTTTTTCAATTTTATTGATTGGACGAGTGTTACTGTACAATTAACATACAACTAACCATATTCTTTTAAACTGATAACAGTCTTACCATGTAAACAATGATAAAATTTCGTGTATAAATTTTTTATACAAATTTTTTCATATAATTGACATATTTTAAGATGATTAAGTTACTTTAAATTAAAAATAAATTAATTAATCAAATAAATTACATAAGAAATATGTAAGATTGTCACATCAGTTTTATAAAAATAGTTCGTATAAATATTTTATAAAAAATAGCTCATATAAATATTTGTATTTGTAACATTACTTGTGAAAGAAAGATTAAGAGGTTTATCTTAATTAATTAAAAAAAATTTGAAAAAAAAAAATAGGGTAGAAACACTTAGAATTTGTACGATGATATTACGGTGTTGTAACGCATAACAGGGTACGCTCACTTCGGCTGACCTTTACACAATCCGCAAAGTCACAAATGGCGGCTTCATCATCTCGCTCTTCAATCCCCTTTGGACCAACAAGATTCATCACATCTTCCTCATCAGAGGCTCTGAAATTGGGGCATTTGGTCCCCACCGGAGGAGCTTTGGTTTGAAGAAGAAGGAGAATTAGGGAGAGTGGGTTACCGGAAGTTGTGGAAGTGGAAGTTCTGGTTCTGTTGTGTGCAAGGCGGTATCTGTGCAGCCGCAGACGGAGATTGAAGGGCTTAACATTGCTGAGGATGTCACTCAAGTGAGTCAAGTTTACTATTTTTTTTTTTTAATATGGTTGTTGGAGTTAGAGAGACTTGATTATGAATTTCAGAGTTATTAGAAAAATTGTCAACTGGGGGTGTTTCGTTATTTTTTGAAATTTTTGGAGATTTGGTGACTGGTGGGTGTTTTAATGTTGATGAGAATCTTACTCAGGTCAGTCATGTTTTGATTTCGTGGGAATTGGGGAAGTGGGTCTGTTTTGTTATTTTTTAAAAGTTTCCAGTATTTTTAATATGATTGTTAGAGTTAGAGAGACTTTATTATGAATTTCAGAGTTATTAGGAAAATTGTGAATTGGGGGTGTTCTGTTATTTTTTGAAAAGTTTGGAGTTTTGGTGATTGGTGGGTGTTTTTTAATGTTGATGAGAATGTTTGGTTACATGTTTCAAGGTGGGAATTTGAATTTGATTTTTAGAGTTATTGACAAAATTATGAATTGGACTGTTTTGTATTATAAAAAATTGATTTAGATGAGGATAGTGTTTCTTGGTAGAGATCTTTGAGGATGCTAATTTTTTGAGAAAGTTGAATGTAGTTTGGCTTGGCTCACCGGAATTGAAGTTGTTCAGTTTAAGCATAAATAATTATAGACTTTTTTGCTATTGATGGGTTGTTTGTATGTATGAGAATGTGGTTTTGGTGAGGAAATTGGGTTAATTTTTCAATAACTTGGGGAATTCTCATAATTTTTTGCCATGTTATTGTAAGTTTTGATCCACTATACTGATACTTCGGCTTACATAACATTCAAAGTCATTTATTTACTTTTTGCATTTCCACTATGGATCAATGAGTTTCTGATATAGACTGCCTTTGATTGCTGATCTGTTGTATTGGTTGTTTTGTGTCACAGCTTATTGGGAAGACACCAATGGTGTACCTTAATAATATTGTAAAGGGGTGTGTTGCAAACATTGCAGCCAAGCTTGAAATCATGGAACCATGTTGTAGTGTCAAGGACAGGTGAGGAAGATAAAATTGCTGTGGGTAGTTAAAACTTTCATGATCATCTTGAAGCTTTTACACATTGGTTCGCTAGTTTAGTGATTGGACTAATAATTTAATGTTTCACAAATATAAATTAATGGGAAAAAATGGCTTGTGGATGACATTGAATCTTCAGATTATTGTCATGCATATCCCAAAATGGGTTTTAGCCAAAAAAAAATCATGCCTTTGGTGGGCTGAGTCTAACTGTGAATCCTAAAAACAGTGTTCATAACCAATTCCTTTGGGCAAACTTTTTTATGTAGATTTTTTTTCTAGTAAAAGCTTTTACGTTTTTGTTTGGCTGCCATCACAAATTTTAATTAAGAACTCTAGAACTACGTACACAGAAGTTTTTTCAAGTAAAATAGGTTATGCTATAAGAAATGTTTTGTGGAATGTGTATACTTAATACATATAAGGCTATTAGGGATAATTGAGTGCTTTAAAAACCCAAAAATTTCAGTTTATCTCAGTATATTGAAAAGAGTTTTCCTAAATTGTGAAAATCTCCTCATAATTGAAACTAAACAGCTAAAATACATTTAAAATAAGCATTTAGCATTAAAAAGCTCTTCTGGCCACTGCAAAAGCCATTCCAAGTGAGCAGTTCAAATCCCTTGCATTTAGACTAAACAATTACAATTTGTATCCTCTAAATGTCTTGTATGTTTGAATTCAGGATAGGTTACAGTATGATAATTGATGCTGAGCAAAAAGGACTTATAACGCCAGGAAAGGTATGGGATTGTATCTACAACTCTTCCAGCTGCATGAAAATGTTATAAGAACTGAATTTAGGCGTCTGTGCCTTCTGTCTCTGGGCATTTGGCTAAAATAAGGGCCCTTTAGGGAGAGCTTGAGACGAGATGCCAAAAGCACATGTGTTTAGTTCTTGCATTACTTTTGATCATTTCAACAGAGGATGTCTTCTTTCATTCTTATTCTTTTTATTTATTTATTTTTGTCTAGAGCATTCTTGTTGAACCCACCAGTGGAAACACTGGCATTGGCCTTGCTTTCATAGCTGCTTCAAGAGGATATAGGCTCATCCTGACTATGCCAGCTTCAATGAGCTTGGAAAGAAGGGTTCTTCTAAAAGCATTTGGAGCTGAGCTTGTATTAACTGATTCGGCAAAGGGCATGAAGGGGGCAGTTCAGAAAGCTGAAGAGATTTTGAACAGCACACCCAATGCTTACATGCTTCAACAATTTGACAATCCCGCAAATCCTAAGGTTTGTGTTCATGGTTCCCTACTGTACCTTGTTGGCCTATATATATTTACCTTAGGAGATAGTTCTATGTATGCAAATTTTGTCTGTAAGGGTATAAAATGGGTTCAATTGGTGTATGTCTGGCCAATAGGACAGTAAAACAGGCATCAGCAGAGATAATCCATGTTGCTCACGCTGAGAGTTGGGTTGTAGCTCATATATTCTTCTATGGTAACATGCAGCAGTCTAGCAGGTGCTGCATTTTGTGACTGTATCTTATGTGATAGAATTCTCTTTTGTATCTGAATATTGGAGGATCAGCTGTAGGGCTGAATTTGACATTCCCTCTCAATGTTGGTGGAAATGGGGCATAGGTATTTTTTTAATGAGTAATGATTCCTGCACTTTATCATTGGATCATATGATATTATTCCAGAGCAATAGAATACTTGATTTGACATACACACTGGATGTGTCACCAGCTAAGAAAATTCTACACAATGTTGTTGCGGTGGGTCAGGATCACTTAAATGGTTTACAATTAAAAAACATAGTAACTGAAATTTTTTGTAGTATGATTTTCTTGGACTGTTTGTTTAGAGAATAAAATGTTCAAGCTGAAGCTCACTATTTCTTTTTCAGATGTTCAAAATAATTTTTTTTATTCAAAAAGATCTTCTGTTAGGTTATAAAACTATGGTGTCAGATGTACTGAAATTTATGAGTTCTGGATTTGAACTTGTATTTCTATATGTAGATACACTATGAGACAACTGGTCCAGAAATCTGGGAGGATACTAGAGGCAAGGTGGATATATTAGTTGCAGGGATCGGAACTGGCGGAACTATAACTGGTGTTGGTCGATATCTTAAAGAGAAAAATCCTAAGATAAAGGTAATCTTTTTGCATTAACTGTTTCTGGATCATGTATGGGGATATGCTAACAACAGTTGCTAATTCATTCTCCACAATACTTAATAAGTGTTGAAAAGAGTGAATTAACAGTTTATTGCTAGCAATTCTCGTCATGTGTGATATTTATCCCCCAATGCACAAGTCATTTTTTTGATCTGCCAATCTGAAAGAGGTCTTTTAGTATTGGTAGCTTGGTGTATGCTAACATTTTGACTGTCTTGGCTGACACCAAATATGTTTTCAGTAAACAAGCAATATGTTTGTTACCGTTTATTGTGTCAGGACTCTAATTGACTTTGATATATATCAGGTTATTGGTATAGAGCCTGTAGAAAGCAACATACTTTCAGGCGGAAAGCCTGGTAAGACAAGAAAGTAATTTTCTGACTCATTCTAGTTTAACTTTTTGTTTAAATCTCTTATAATACGTAATAATTTGTGTTGCATATTGCATCTGCCAATAAAAATGCAGGTCCTCACAAGATTCAAGGGATTGGAGCAGGTTTTGTACCTGGGAATTTGGATGAGGGTGTGATTGATGAAATCATAGAGGTTCAAATCTAATTTTACTTTTTCTATTTCTGTGTTAATTTTATTCTTTGACCAGATATTTGGAATATTCTTATATCACTGACCTTTCTGGTCTGAGAAACTCTACTCGAACCCTTCCTTTCCTCTTTGACAGTTTCATGTGGCTTGTTCAGAATTTTTTAGAGCATCTATGTACAATTATTGCAATGAATCCTTGAGAACTTGTGTTAGTAAAAGTAGTTTTATTAAGTTCAGATTTTGAATATGGGCGTTGTATTCATTGTTGGTCAAAAACTGGATGCGGTGAGGGGTGTGGTCGGGATACACATAGTAGCAGAATCTTAGGCAAATGCTGTTTCCTTTCTATCCTAGAAATACCCTGGCTTTACCTGTTTCTGAATCATGTTGACACTGGAAACTATCGTCAGATCTACAATCTTAAGTAGTCTGGAATGCATGAAAACCCTGGTTCATACCATCTGACCCACCCCTCGGGTATAATTGTGTTAAACAATATTACCTGTAATTCTTTTATATAAAGATTAACAATTTAATTACGTGTGTTTTAGATCTATTTACACTTTACTTTCAAAATAGGTTGGACTTCCCTCTAGCCGTGTATGACTTGAAAATTGATTAACATATTGGACCTGTGATCAACATAAGTGATTCCCATGTGCTTGATTGTTTGTGCATTGAATACTATGAGAAGACCTCTTTCTACTACTTCGCATGACCTACATATGTGCATGTATTTCTAATTGCTCCATGAATTGGGAACACTGCCATTATATATGAATGTATATTATTTAGCTTACATTTCTACATGCTAATAGTCTTATGTATTGTCTTGTTGCTTTCCGGATCTATTATTAAAATTACTTAATATTCCTTAATAAATTTACATGATGGCCATAATTAGTTTATGCTCATTCTAATTTCTCCTTGTACTGTCCTCGGCGTTTGTAATTGTATGCTTAAGCTCCATATGCAGCTGCTACTTGTAAAGTTCATGATATCTTACTGTTCATTCATTGTGAATTTGCAGATATCCAGTGATGAAGCTGTTGAAACTGCAAAGCAAGTAGCTCTCCAGGAAGGCTTGTTGGTTAGTACTTTTCATTTCTTTCAAACTGTTGTGTGTTTTGAAATTAAAGAAAAACTGAATCTCAATCCAGGAGTCATTCCAAATTGGACATGATAAAGCACTACGTTTTTTGTTTCTTAAATTATGGGTTTGTCAAATGATACTCTTATGCACCCGTGACGGATTAGCCAAGTGATTAGGCTTGTGGTGGTTTGAGTCCCTCATGGGCAATTACATGGCTAAAGACTATTGTTTCTCGCTTCCCAAAGATTGTAGGGTTCGCGGGGTTTTCCAGTTTCGAACTCGGCTTCGCAACCTGACTACAATTTAGGTCTCACTAGATTATAGAAACATCCTGTTTATATGAATTCCATTCGTGAAGAGCATCAAAAACAGTAAAGATGTCAGAAGTTTGTGTTGACAATACAGCAATTAGGCTTTTGAAGGGCAAAAAACATGAATCTGTATTCAAATCAAAACCTAGAAGGATAATCAAATTAACAACTTTAAATCTATTAGAAAAGAATTATACTATTGTTTGTTTCCTTCAGTTTTGTCCAATTTGGCGGGTGGTACGATTTTAGCCAGGCTTTAATTGTAAACATACTATGAACTGCTTGCCACATCTGCTTCAACAGAAAATTACAATAATAATGATGTGTTTTTAGTCAATTGAACAACAAACTTTGTATGAGGCTTGTCCTTAAATTTTCTTGCTTTTTTAGTATTAATTTTGTCATGTTCATCCTTTTAGTATGAATCATCTTTAATGTTTCACTGCATGATCAAACATCAGGTTGGCATATCTTCTGGTGCGGCCGCCGCAGCTGCAATGAAGGTTGGAAAGAGGCCTGAAAATGCTGGGAAGCTCGTTGCAGTAAGTCATTTTCGTAACATAAATTATAATGTTAAGCCTATATAGAACTGAGTGGCAGTGTTTTATGGAGTAAGGTTACAAACTGAAGTACAAACATCGAANTTTATTAAGTTCAGATTTTGAATATGGGCGTTGTATTCTTTGTTGGTCAAAAACTGGATGCGGTGAGGGGTGTGGTCGGTATACACATAGTAGCAGAATCTTAGGCAAATGCTGTTTCCTTTCTATCCTAGAAATACCCTGGCTTTACCTGTTTCTTAATCATGTTGACACTGGAAACTACTGTCAGATCTACAATCTTAAGTAGTTTGGAATGCATGAAAACCCTGGTTCATACCATCTGACCCACCCCTCGGGTATAATTGTGTTAAACAATATTACCTGTAATTCTTTTACATAAAGATTAACAATTTAATTACGTGTGTTTTAGATCTATTTACACTTTACTTTCAAAATAGGTTGGACTTCCCTCTAGCCGTGTATGACTTGAAAATTGATTAACATATTGGACCTGTGATCAACATAAGTGATTCCCATGTGCTTGATTGTTTGTGCATTGAATACTATGAGAAGACCTCTTTCTACTACTTCGCATGACCTAAATATGTGCATGTATTTCTAATTGCTCAATGAATTGGGAACACTGCCATTATATATGAATGTATATTATTTAGCTTACATTTCTACATGCTAATAGTCTTACGTATTGTCTTGTTGCTTTCCGGATCTATTATTAAAATTACTTAATATTCCTTAATAAATTTACATGATGGCCATAATTAGTTTATGCTCATTCTAATTTCTCCTTGTACTGTCCTCGGCGTTTTTAATTGTATGCTTAAGCTCCATATGCAGCTGCTACTTGTAAAGTTTATGATATTTTACTGTTCATTCATTGTGAATTTGCAGATATCCAGTGATGAAGCTGTTGAAACTGCAAAGCAAGTAGCTCTCCAGGAAGGCTTGTTGGTTAGTACTTTTCATTTCTTTCAAACTGTTGTGTGTTTTGAAATTAAAGAAAAACTGAATCTCAATCCAGGAGTCATTCCAAATTGGACATGATAAAGCACTACGTTTTTTGTTTCTTAAATTATGGGTTTGTCAAATGATACTCTTATACTCCCGTGACGGATTAGCAGAGTGATTAGGCTTGTGGTTTGAGTCCCTCATGGGCAATTACATGATTAAAGACTATTGTTTCTCGCTTCCCAAAGACTGTAGGGTTCGCGGGGTTTTCCAGTTTCGAACTCGGCTTCGCAACCTGACTACAATTTAGGTCTCACTAGATTATAGAAACATCCTGTTTATGTGAATTCCATTCGTGAAGAGCATCAAAAATAGTAAAGATGTCAGAAGTTTGTGTTGACAATACAGCAATTAGGCTTTCGAAGGGCAATAAAGATGAATCTGTATTCAAATCAAAACCTAGAAGGATAATCAAATTAACAACTTTAAATCTATTAGAAAAGAATTATACTATTGTTTGTTTCCTTCAGTTTTGTCCAATTTGGCGGGTGGTACGATTTTAGCCAGGCTTTAATTGTAAACATACTATGAACTGCTTGCCACATCTGCTTCAACAGAAAATTACAATAATAATGATGTGTTTTTAGTCAATTGAACAACAAACTTTGTATGAGGCTTGTCCTTAAATTTTCTTGCTTTTTTAGTATTAATTTTGTCATGTTCATCCTTTTAGTATGAATCATCTTTAATGTTTCACTGCATGATCAAACATCAGGTTGGCATATCTTCTGGTGCGGCCGCCGCCGCTGCAATGAAGGTTGGAAAGAGGCCTGAAAATGCTGGGAAGCTCGTTGCAGTAAGTCATTTTCGTAACATAAATTATAATGTTAAGCCTATATAGAACTGAGTGGCAGTGTTTTATGGAGTAAGGTTACAAACTGAAGTACAAACATCGAATTGACGATAACAAGACTAAAACAAGTTACAACACTTAGGTGAAATTAACTCGTATGAGATTTGATAAATATAATGAAGATAAGTGTGGAGCGTCATCTGATATTAAAGATTAATTTGGTAGATTGAGAGGCTATGGAGATCATACTTGATTCAATTGTTTAATTTCCATTTCCAGGAGGGAAGTTGATTTCCCTGTTCATCGTTATGTTATCAGAATCTAACTTTATTCCTGTGTTTTTATATTTCTGAAATACTAAAATTGCTTGCATAATCGAAAATGGAGTTGGGGCTCTGATATCAAACTGATGCAGGAAATAAGAGAGATAAGAAACAAAAGAACTAGGAAGAAAGAAAAAGGGACATAAATTAGAAGGATTAGAAGAGTAATTAAGAAACAGGTAATTTGAGGGACAAAATCATAATTCATTATCCAAAAATACCGAGAAAAAATACTTTATATTGCAGCCAAGATTTAAACAAAGTATGAAATTACAATCGATTTCTTTTTGAAGTGATCAAATCTTTAAACTGAATAAGTTGCATGATTTCAGGTTGTGTTTCCGAGCTTCGGAGAACGATATCTATCAACTGTTCTTTTCCAGTCAATCCGAGAAGAATGTGAGAAAATGCAGCCTGAAGCATGAAATTTCCCTACTTGAGTCGATTTAAAAAGTACTTTATTTGTTTTTTGCATACGTTTTATATATGCATTTTGGTACTATTCTTGTGTATATCTTTATAAGAATCTTTGATTCAGAAACTCCATTCATGACTGGCTTTTTCTTGTCTAATAAGGAAAAATCCTGTAACTGAAATCCTGTTATGTATGTGTTTGCAATTTTCAGAATGAATAAAATCATAGCCATTTAACCAAAAGAGATAATCATCAAACCGAAATAGAGCTAAATTTCACTTGCTACTATTATAGTTTCCAAAAACATAGTGGAATATTAAGTTTGATAGTATTCATAAAAGGAAAATGTTACATCCATAATTTTTTTTCACAAATTTTTTCTCATAATTTCGATGTAACAGTTTATCATTGGTTGATTGATGACTCGCAAATGAGCAGGTGGGATCTATACAAGTAGATGAAATTCATTTTATGAGTTAATCGATGACGTAAGGTTGTGAAAAAAAATTTGTGAGAAAAAGTTGAGTATAACATTACTACTCATAAAACCACCACCTTTTAGTTTTCGAAAACTGTTTTATAAATGGTTATCTTCTTTACCAAGATAACAACAATAGTACAAGAGAAAGTTTTATACATTCATGTAATACAATCAGTCATCGAGGGCATCAACTCAGACTATAACGTGTTTTCTCTCAGTGATTGGTTACATTATTTTTAATTATTATTATTATTTTGAAAAAGTTATAATAATATAAAGTAACACAAACGGTCATAAGCCAAACTCTAAAGAGACTACGAAGGCACAAAGGCCTCAACATAAGAGTACGCCAATGGCGGATCCATAATTTTTGTCCGGGAGGTTTCTGTGGCTCAGCCATTATTTGTCAAACTAATGAAAACTTAAAAAAAATTACCAAACCTTGAGAAATAAAATAATACAATATCAATAATTTGAAAAAAAATAATGCAATAACATAATACTTTATCACTTGAATAAACTATGAGAAGCAAAACCTTGAACAAATGATGTTGAAAATAACATCCAATTCACAAGGAAACACAAGAAAATTTTTACGTGGAAAAACATCTTCAATTAAAGAGAGCAAAAGACTACGAGAATCTAACGATCCACTTAAATCCAATATAATTAAAAGAATTTACAACAATCACAATCCACCAAAAATGTTCTACACAAATTTCTTATTTCTCCTCTTTTATTATTATTATTATTATTATTATTATTATTATTTTGGCTTTCAAAGATTATAATATAAATTTTCATAACTTTGATAAGACCTAGCTTAAGCTAAAGTCAACCAAAACTCAAATTAAGTCAACGTTGTCTTGACTTTTAATATGAATTAATAAAAAAAAGGGAAATTTTCCTAATATAAACATAGATAATAACTCAAACTTCTTTAATAATTTTGAGTAGCTAAACGGTAACGTTTAAAATGTAAGAAAGTGGTGGGTGAAGAGTGAAGAATAATGTTTAGTAAAATATAGTTAAAGTTTAATTTAGGAAAACAAGAACATTCTAAAACACAAAACATAAAACAAATTCACAAGATCCATGCCTTTTTCGATCTAATTAGAATAAAAAAAACCTCCAAAAAATAAGCATGATTCAACCCTAAAATAAACTAAAATGAAATAAACAATACTTATACCTAAAATTGATAAAACAAAAAACGAATCTAATTGTGACACTTGATTAATGAAAACTTCAATAATTTCAGCCTTCAAAAATTTTAAGAACGAATAGCATAGAAAAAGTGAAAGAGAGAATGAGAAAGTAAAGAATTTTAAGAATAAAATCATAAAAAACAAGTGGACGTATAAAAGAGTGGAGAAAGTTTTAAACTTTTAATATGATGTAGACGTAGAATATATATATTAATAGCAAGTTTTTTATGAATCTAGATATATGTATAATTTTTTTTTTTTTTTTTTTTTTTAAATTTGAAGGTAAGTCTGAATATATATATTAATAAAAAAATTTATCCTATATAAACAATTTTTTTTTTTTTTTTTAAAATGTGAAGGCCTACCCTCTAAGGACTAGGTCCGCCCTGGAGTACACAGACCCAAACAAGGCACAGACGCCCAAAAAGGGCACAAAGCCCCAACACGAGCACGCAGGCCCAAAGAAGGCATAGACGCTCAAACAGAGCACGCAGACTCAAAATCAGAACAGGAAAAGGCACAGACGCCCAAAAGAGCACCCGTGACTAGTTATATTATAAGTTTATAGCATCATGATGCACATAAATATGTTTCCTACTGCAAAAACAAAAACACTTGCAGAAAGTTTGAATGATCAAGCACCTTTGAAGAAATTCATTGGGACGCTTCTCTGCAAAATCTCCTTCACGAGATCATGCACACCCACAAGCAGGAAACTATTATTGGTAGCTGTTCCTGGGTGGTGGGGGAATATTATTTGGTCTTCTGTCGAAAGCTGAATATTGATTCCCTCCTTGTTGATGGTGATTGTAGTTTACCCTCTGTTGATTGTTATAATGGTAGCCACCCTGGATTCCTCTATATTGATACTGGCCCTGATTTCCTCTGTTTTGATACTGGCCCTGGTTTCCATGGTGTTGATAATGAAACTGGTTTCCTCTTTGCTGATGGTGGGCATACCCTCTGGGAATGCTCTGGTTAGCCTGTGACCGACNAAGCAGGAAACTATTATTGGTAGCTGTTCCTGGGTGGTGGGGGAATATTATTTGGTCTTCTGTCGAAAGCTGAATATTGATTCCCTCCTTGTTGATGGTGATTGTAGTTTACCCTCTGTTGATTGTTATAATGGTAGCCACCCTGGCTTCCTCTGTTTTGATACTGGCCCTGATTTCCTCTGTTTTGATACTGGCCCTGGTTTCCATGGTGTTGATAATGAAACTGGTTTCCTCTTTGCTGATGGTGGGCATACCCTCTGGGAATGCTCTGGTTAGCCTGTGACCAACCCCATTGATGTAAATCACCAGCACCGGGTGGTTGGTGGCTCTGAAAGCCATTGTAACCACCTTGAACAGAATACGGAGTAGCCCCAGTTGGTGTTTCGGCTATGAGTGCCAGTCGGTAGTTTCCTCTTTGTTGATGGTGGGCATACCCTCTAGGAACGCTCTGGTTAGCCTGTGACCAACCCCATTGATGTAAACCACAAACAACAGGTGGCTGGTGGCTTTGAAAGCCATAGTAACCACCTTGAACAGAATACAGAGTAGCCCCAGTTGGTGTTTCGGCTATGAGTGCTGGTGGGTACATAGCATTGAGTGAATCGGTTGGCTGCTCTCTACTGGTACCTGACTGATTATTTCTTTCGTATTGCGGGTGAGACCTTATGTAAGGAGGGTGAGAAGTTGATGAAGAATAGTATTGATACCCACTGTCATAGGACGTGGCAGGCACTGATGATCGAGAACGTGCTGCAGGAGAATGATCATGAGCCCTGTGATTTTGATAGGAAGGAACTGGAAGAACATTGGTTGCAGCATAATAGTAAGGTTGCCGTGGACCAGGCACATGATTGCCATACCCATTGTTACCCCTCTTCAACTGTACACTATTAACACCAAGCCATTGGAATGCCTCTCCGAGCTCATTGCCAGAATCGGAACCATGGGGATTTTGCCTGAAAGCAAAAGCAAAATTCACAACTCTTGAAATATGTATTAAAAAAATTCAAAGTTTAGCACCAATCCACACGGAAAGGAAGAAAAAATGTTGAGCTTCCAGTCACATTGGCCTCTCAATGAATTGAAGATCATGCACACCTTCTACTTTTATAAGGTCTCTTCCCAGTATCCTCATGCCACAATATAGGTTCAGGTTTGAGATCCCCCTCTTCCACCGTCTACAAATGGAAATTTTGAAATAATTATTCTTCTAAGCAGATATGATACATAAAACAACAGATAGGCCTCACTGATTGCCTACCTTTTCAGGAAACATGACCTCGACAGGAGGTCGAGGGATGTGTTTATGTGCATCAGGGAGTTGGTAGGAAGCACGTCTAAATGCCAAGGCACAGAAAGAAAAAGAGAATTAAATAGCAAATCATATAACATGATCACTTCAATAACTTGACAGACAATTAAAGCTTACATGACTTGATTGCTCTTAATATCTTCCATCCCATCAACTGGGGACTTGAATACGGAAGCATGAGAATCACCAGCAGCAGGGGATATATAACCGTTCATCCCATCACTGCAATACCCCTAAATACAATCATAAGATAGTCCAAACGTACACTAAATGAGCTGTGCTAAACATAATTAGTAACAATACAACACAGCCACGATGCAAAACAACACTTAAACCTCTAAACACTCGAAACTAGAACAGAACACTGTACTACATATGTATGTGAGATTTTGGTGATAGCTAACTGGTTTTGGCCACAGTGATAATAGAACTATTTCATGATTACTACCATCGTTCATGTGTAATGTGTAAAAGAAGTGAAGAGTCTTGTAATCATCTTTTCTTTTGCTGTGTTGTGGCCTCAAGTTTACATGTTAGAGCTTGTTGAACATCTAAATGTCTCGGCTATTCCAGGTTCTAGTGAAGCAATTGTTATGGTGAATGTTGTTTCACCTTTAGGAAAGGAATGGAAGCTAAAATACATTGGAGATGCATTGTTTCAGCTATTCTTTGGGTGATTTGGCTAGTAAGAAATAATCAAATTTTTGGTAAGATTAGAGAAGAAAGCAATAGCGAGTTGTAGGATTCACTTCCCTCTAGGATTCAATTGCTAAGGAATTTCAAAAACTTTCTTTTTTCTTTATTCATGTCAATTGGGAAGAGCTTATAGGTCGATTTTATTGTGTTTTCGGGTTTTCATTCAAGGGAGGGATGTTGTTCTGTATAACTAATTATATGAACCAAATACAGCTTATAGATGAACCTCACATATTTGTAAAACAAATGACAACTGACAAATGAATCCTATAAGTAAAAAATACAGCCTAAAGCAGTCCACCTTCAGGGCTAGAAGTAAATGCAAAACGTTGAACTATTGCAAACACAAACCTTAGCTCAGGTTTGAGACTTTCTTTCACTTCAGCTCTCTCTTTGACTGTTAATTGTTTACAACGTTCATTGAGTGTAAATATGCTTGCCGAGAGAGGATGGGATAGTAGCACAAAAAGCATGTCAGACATCGAACTGTTTCTCTGCACTTCCTCAGCCTGAAGAAGAATTACACATTCATTAGATAGATGAATATGAAATGATCTTACAGAAGATAAGAAAAAGCAGAATTACCATTAAAGTAGGTTCAATTTTCTTGACCTCAGCAAGAAGGCGAGCTTCATCAATGAAAGGCAGCTTTGCAATACCCTTAGAAGGAAATCAAGCCGAAATGTGTATAAAATGGAAAAACCCCTCAAATAGAAAGTTATTTAGACCAAATGATGGACTCACCTGCCAGGCATACCGTTTTCCATTCATGTCCACTTTGAAATCTGACAAATGGGACAAAAAATCAAGATGAAAAATCTTGAAAACATGATTTTAAGAACAGATAATCAGTGGGACTTTTCAATTAGAAACGACACATACCATTTGGATAAAAATGAATTATAGGCGACTTTGGGTCAGTCATCAATTTTCGGTAATGCTCAGGGAGTGCATGGGCACTGAAAATGGGTCACAGTAAGTACCTTACTAATCAGGGAATTTATCAGAAATAAGAATAAAAATGTAGCTACCACACCTTGCAGCAGGGAAAACTCCCAATAGTTGATTGAACGGTTTAAAGGGCAGACCCAGTTCAAAGCTTATCTTCAGCCGGCCGAGACCTTTCAGATCAGAAGCAAAGGGTGCATAATGATAAGGATAAAACCTGAAACCATGAACGCCAAACAGGATTAGGATCAAATTCGAAAGACAAGCATTTTGTAACCGAATTCAAGAATGAGTGACAAAACTATCGCCAAAGGAAGAACAAGCTTGCCACCAAAAATGAACACCAGAAGTGCAAAATATAGCCTAAACTGATACCAAAAATGCCTTGAAAGATCTTTACTTCTGTCTTTTAATATGCATCAAACTAAGGAAAAACTGCAAGAAATAACAAGAACTCAAAGAGAAAAAATACTCACCACTGCCAAGAACAGACACCTTCGTAGTAATAACGCATAACCCAACATAACCCTTCTATGTACCTCAAAACCTACTCAATCAAAACTCAATAAAAAAGGACAAGCCAACATTGATTGAAAGATATAGACAAAAAACACGACATCAATAGCACTTAAGTTCATCTAACTTACAACATCCTTTCGTACATGTTCACGTTCCTCAAGAGTTTTTGCATTAAACTTCTCCTCATAATACCTTTCTTTCCATCCTGGCTCTCCCAATCTAACCTGATAAAAAAAACACAAGGGTTATAACAACCATAAAAATATGCAAATATAAGCGAACTAAAACAGAGTTTTCAAGAGAAAAATGATGTTCGTCCACTCAAAATTTGAGAACTAGATGTATAATCAACAAATGAAGCATCATTTGGCAACTTTATATGCCTCATCTGAATGCAAAATCTGCATACCTTATCTAATTGTGGATTTTCCGAGTTAAAAACATCAGACTTCTCACGAAGAAACTCCTTAAGTTTTCTTTTCAATTCTTCTTGATTTTCTTGCATCTGAAAATCAAGGAGCAAAATATTAGCCAAAACGAATCAAAATAGCACAAAATAATCCCACAAAATTTTCAAACATATAACAGCAAGGGAAGTAAATATAATCTAAAATGAAAAATAAATGCACTCTTCACTCACTGCCCGCAAGGCTCATGCCAATTAAAGGTAGTTAAGCCCATAGAGTTAGTACTAAAGAATGGCCAAGGAGTGAGAGATACATTAAAGTGTCTCTACTTAAAATTGAAAACATACTTCTTTTTCTAGACTAGTCTCTGATTCACAAATGACTCTACCAATAGTGGCCCCAGAAGACATATTTGGAACTTTATAGGGCTGAGCAGAAGTTCCTGTACCGGCAGATGTCCAAGAACATTTGCCAGAGTTATCATTTCCCATTTCGTTAAACGATATGGAGAGGGAAGGACTGGAAGCCATACATGAACCAAGAAACTGAGAAACAGGAACCAAAGAATCAGGTTGGGCTTCAGGCTCTTCATTGTCTCCTATTGTTGCTTGAGCCATTTCACGCATGATTCGTTCAGCCTGCCTCTGTAAAATATAAACCAGAATAAATGAATATGAATGCCACAAGATATGTTAAACCTACCAACCACAAGAATAAGAAGTACGAGCATGCAACAACTAGAAGCCTTGTTCCCTCACAATTAACAAATATCAACACCACACCTAGCAAAGCACATTCTCATCAAACTTTATAAATCGACCCTGCAATTTCCTTTTTGGGTAAAAATAGTGTTAGAATTGACCACTTATATTCCTATTTATCAATTTGCTCAAAAAAATCTTTTAAGAGAATTGAGGATTATAGGATTTCCCCACATCAATTTATTTCCGATGAAAACAGCTAGGATATCCTAACCTATGTCAGCATATACTGCCACAAGAAAACCTATATCAGCATATGCTGCCACAATCTTAATTCAGAAAACCTTCATTCCTGCAATCTAGTTCATTCTAAAAGCCAACATTTTCATGGACCTAATTTGAAGTCTAAACTGCTCCCAAAAAAACAGAAATGCTGTGGAATAGTATACTTGTAGCCCATACAAAGCTTATTGGGCACTCCATAAAATTTGGTACATCTTCAGCAAGTTACACGTGATAACACAATACTTCCCAACTCATACAGCCCTAGTATATTAAGTACATATTTCATGATGAAAGAACCCCATGTTGATCTGGGAAAAAAAAAAAGAAACCTGGTGCAACCGTGCTCTTTTCTGAAAAATTTTAACCTCAAACGATCCAATAGCTTGAATAAAATGTTCCACCCTGCTCAGATTTAGCTGAGAAAGGAAACAAGAAGTTATGCAAAATGTCAAAACAATCTCCTAACCAAGGCCGAAAATAAAGCCAAATGCAGTTGGAAAACTTAAACCGCTTGAAGCAGCTTCTAGAACGTATAACAAACAATCATTTTAGTACCTTGCATCCATCAGTCAAGTACCCGCCCAAAGCCGTAAACTCTTTTTTGTATATAGCCATCAGTAAGTTGATTGCACCCTGAAAAAGAATGCATGAAAATAACAAAACAAGGATGCACTTAAATTAACAATTTTCACTGCAATTTTGAGTTAAAACATTCCTAATAGAAAGTTGGCTAGCAAGTTGGAGTAAAAAATTTAGATGTGTCAAGCAAGAAGGGTGGGCCAACTACTAGAAAAGCTAATGAATATTTACGTACCTCACGAATCTCCAATGTAGGCATATGTGGCACAAAATCATTGCCAACAAAGAAACACATAAAGATAAAATCATCCACAATGCATTCAAGATCAATCTCGAATGGAGGGTTAGGAATTCTCATCTCATAGTCCAGGTATTCTCTAAGAGTCCAAAGGTTAAGAAGCTGCCAAGAAGAAAAGAACAGATTAGGAAATAAAGGCAAAAGGTTAGCTATAATTATAACCACATGACATTTATGAAAAGTTTTTCAACAGCAGCTGTTTAAGGACATTTCAATTAAAACTTACCTGGTATGGCTTTTTGGCCCCGAAATCCCCATCCCCTTTCTCATCATATTCTCCTGACTTTCCCTTTGCCTTTCCTACACAATATTCTGCTAAATGACCCATCTGACCGCAAAGGAAGCATTTGTTTTGCTGTCCAGGAGTGAATACAATCTGAAGAATACCATTTAAGAAAAAGCATACTTTAACAATTTGAGATTCTGAAAAAAAGGGACTCCAACTACTAAGTGATTCTGATGAATGAGCATCTACTGAACTGAGACACTATTCAAAAGAGATGTTCAAGTGGGGTAAGATGATTAAAATTCCAGGAAATGAAATAGGTCTCTCTCTCACTTAAACATGCCACCGAAGTACAAATTAAACAAGCATATAAGAATAGTAATATACAAACCTCTCTAAGGATTGAAAAGTGAACTTCATGCGTTGCCAAAGCCAACATAATTAAATCTGCATCCTGTCATTTATCATATGGGCAACAGTGAATCACAGGCAATGTTGCTATCAGAAATGGAAAAGAGGGTCTGATGTAATAATATACCAAACCATATAGACAATGACGTGTATTTGGATCAAAACCAGGAAGATTTCTTTGAAGACGAATGTACGACATAATTTTATGCTCCCCTTCACCAGGGACATTTGCATCAGAAAGAATAACCTTCAAAACCAAGAATGCAAGCAAAAGGTAAAACACAATTTCAACATCATTCTAATGGACCAAAAGGGTAAGTATATTATCTTAATAGCAAAGAAATAAAACACAAAGGAAAACACAGAAACGTGACATGGATGGTACCTTGATATTTTCCCATCCAGGATCATTATTTAATCTAAGGTGAATATAGTACTGCAAAGCAATCGACAAAACAGCCATAAATGAAGTTCCAGGAGTGATAACATTAGAATCACAAACTTGAGAATCAAATTTAGGGGGGAGCTTTCTGCCCTCCTTCTCAAACTCCAGCCGCAACCGTTCTTCTTCAGCTGCCTACAGAATGAGAACCGAAGAATCAATCACTACGAAATGACTCATTCCTCGCTTTTAAGATTTTTCTATTCTTTACAAGTTGGGGAGAAGGAACAGAAGCAACTGTAATTTATACAACCTAAAAAATCTGCAGATATCATTAAGAAGAGTGGGAACAACTGGACAAGGAAGGCTCCAACACATCTAAGTTAAAATGCATTTAACATCAAGATTTTTTGCTAGGAAGATGTGTAACTTGCAAATCTATAAAAACACCATTAATATTAAATATCACAAAATACATTCCGTATGAGTCATAACTGCTTGTCAATATATCCATTTTTCTATAAAAACGTCAAGAATATACAACTAACAATTAAATTTTCTATGAAAAATTGCTTTTGGTTAATAATTCTACTAAATTCAATATAAAAATAACATGTTGATTTTGTTAGTTTAAAACTCTCTGCATGCATACACACTAAACAGCCCCCTAGAATTTGAAAAAGTGCATACATACCGCATCTGCAGCATCTTTAGCTGCTCTAAAACGCCTAGTTCGCTGCTGATTCATTTTCGCCCGTGGGGCAACACCATCTACAAGTTGTCGTTTTGAGATAATCAGCATTTCAAGGGAAAGACTACCAAACATCAGGTGCATTATGCCAATGCCGATTAACGCATACCATATGGTAGATGGTCTTTAAGATAATCATGTAAGTCACAAAGTTTTATTGGCTTGACACATGAATGATGTGATACACCCGGTACATAATAGTTTGCCGCGCATTACAAACAATACAAATAATAATTATTCCATCCATGTCTACCTCTCCACAAGAAACATATTACACATAACAAATAGAGTGAGACTGTTTACACCTTAAAAACTAGTCTCAACACCCATTTCTAAGTACACACCCAATTAAAATTCTGAAAATTGGATTTTTTTATGGACAAAATCATTTCTAAAATTTAATAGTTGTATACTTAGTAAAATGGGTGCCTAGAGAATTCTTTTTTTTATTATTATTATTTTTTTAAGAAATATAATAATAATTCCGTCACTGTCTATACATAATCAACGGGGTGACGCCATTACTAAGTACACACCCCATGAAAATCTTAAATATGAGATTTTTACACTACCAAAAAATTCATTTCCAAAATTTAGACAGTGTGTACACTCAGTAATGGAGACTCTGGAAAGTACTCAGAGAAGTTTCTTCTCTTTGCAAATGGCCCTCCAACACTCACCAATCGCCAAATACAGCAACTTCCTAGGTCGCACCATCGCAAAAAGCCTGTCGATGTAATAAAAAACACACCGAAACACCTCATCATACGTCGATGGACCATTCTGCAAGAGTGAAGTCTTATTATGAGAGAGAGAGAGAGAGAGAGAGAGAGAGAGAGAGAGAAACTCGAAGCAAAGCAAAAATGAAGTTGAATGAAAAGTTACTCTGTCTTCAGGATGGAAACAGGGATGAATAATCCCGTTCATGTCGAGATACAAGTTATCGAATTCAATTTTATTCGGATTCGGTTTTCTCGTATCCACCGGAATCTTAACGCCGTCAACTACAACCGGCTCTTCCTGGACGACGTCCACCACCACCAACGGATACTTCTCCGATAGCCACCGGTAGAACACCGGAACTCCCATTGCCAAACAATCGACCGAACCTCGCAACCGACACGAACCAGCAAACGAAATCGGGAACTGGAAGGGTTTAAGAAAGAATTAAATGGTGAATTAATTGTAATTAATTTGATTTTGAACTGTCATTAGTGGAGATGGGGGACCGGCGGTAAGAGCATCTTAAATGACTTTTATATCCTCCAAACTCTTTATTATAAAGACTAAAGAGTCAGACTCTTTATTACATAGATCCCTTAGACAGACAGTAAGTAGTGCAATTGATCTCCCCATACGATCTATGTGTCAAAACATTTAAATTCTAAGATTTAGTTTAAACAATAAGGTCCAATAAAATCTGAAAATAACACATAGGTACTTATCGATTAACGAGTGTTTGAAGAATTTTGTTAAGTCTCTAAAATTTCTATAATTTGTCATATTTTTTTTTTCTTATAATTAACATAATTATTTTAAATTTCTATGGAATATCTAGAAGATACTCTAGTTAAAACGTGGTAGCGATTATTTGAAACTATTAAATTGAGGTTTTGATATATATAACTAACTCAATAATCCTAATTTCCCAAATTGTGTAGGTTTTACTTAAAGTATAAATCAAACTATAAAATCTAATGACTTATCAATTATACTCTTAATCTATAAACCCGTAGAAAATATCAAAAATCCCCCTATAATATTCTTAGAAAACCCTACAAATATCAAAATCTCTCAAACAGGGAGGTATTTCATAGTTTTAAGTAAAAAAGACCTGCAAAAACTGCAAAATACCTCTAAAATTACTGTAAACCCCTAGAAATATTAGAAACTCCCTAATAATATAAACTAAAACCTGCAAATATCAAAACCCCCTTAAGTTGGGAGGCATTTGATAGTTTCTAATAATCACTAGGGCGAATGAATTAACCCAAAATATCTTTACAGCCAAAGGTTTTTTTTTTTTTAATGATCGAAAGTATCCGGTCTAACTTACGCACACCTCAACTAATCTCCCGGGACATCAGAACTACCGGTCAAGTAAGAGCTCCAATGAGTACCCCTATTAGCAACCAAGGAGCAACTCAAATTCAAGACCTCTGCAACAATACACCTAAAAGACCCTATCGAACATAGCTAAAGGTTTATGTTTCTTCTTTGTTTCTCTTGCTTTTGTGTACAACAATTTCAAAATGAACAACTCAACTTCTTCTACTTAAGGGTGTACAAAACCAGATATTTGATCCGATTTTGTATTTTTCTGATCCGATCTGGAAATTCTGATCAGGATGAAACCTAATACGAATCTGATCTCGATTTTGTCTGGTCTGGTTGTGATCCAATCAGAATATTCAAGTTGGATAAACTGGATATCCGGTTTTGATTGGAATTTATATGGAAAATATCAATTTGTCCCCTAGTTTTCATAATTCTTTTACCTCTACCGCATTAGCATTTCATTACATTTTGACCCCCAAAGTTGTCAACGTATTTTAGAACAATCCACATACCTTACCACTTTTCACCTAGGACCCTGAAATAACTTCTTAAAACTTGGAGTTATGGACAAAACCAGATCGGATTCGGATATCCGGTTTCTTTGTAGAGCCAATCTAGTATTTGATCCAAAAATCCAAATCTTCCAAAAATTGATATCCGAATCCGATCTAAATTTTTAGATATCCAATTTTTTTGGATTGGATCGAATCGAATACTAGATATCAATTTTTTTTTTTGCACACCCCTACTTCTGCTTCTACCTCAAGTGCTTTTGCATCTTCTAAAACTTTAAACTCAGGTTCTTCAGTTGACAACTTCTTGCATCGTTTTGCCAACCTTCAGCTTAGCTCCTCCTTCTTATTCTTCCTCTTCTTCTTCAATTAGTTGTTAATGGCTTAAACAACAAGAAGAATCAATCTTCAATCTGAATTAAATTGTAACTATAATACTTGTACTTTTGGGATTTTATTAAATTTTATTTTGTGATTTTGGGGGAGTAAAATGTAAGAATTTGAAACTTTAGAGGAGAAGTGTTAAAGCCAAACACAAGAGGGACTAAAGAAAATTTGCCAAGATATTTTGGTGAACATGATCACTCAAATAGTGGTGGAGAAGAGTAAAACAGAGGAAGTCTGTGGGGTGAAAGGGAAATAAAAAAAGAAAAAGAGAAGAAGAGAAAGAAAAAGAAAAAAGAAAGAAAGAAAGAAAAAGGAGAAAGAAGAAATCAAAAGAGAGGAAAGAAAATATGGAAAAAGAGAAAAAAAAGATATGAGATGGAGTCGAGAGTGAAAGGAGAAAAAGGATATGAGATGGACCCGAGAGTAAGAGTGGGAGAGTTTTCTTTGTCTTCCTTTCACCATTTTCATTTTTAACCATAAGGGTTTGGTCTGACAGTCAAGAATGCTTGCTCCCTTCATTGAATTCCTAAGTTCAAATCACCTTGGAACCACCTATCACATTGTGGCTTGAATATTGGGCTTGTAGGGTGTTAAGTTTGAAGATTACTTGAGGTCCACGCAAACTAGCCTGGACACACCAATCATAAAAAAAATAAAAAAAATTGAGAGAAAGTGAAAAGAAAAATTTGAGTTGAAGAGGAAAAGAAGAAGAATTTGTGAGGTGTGTGTGTTGTTTGAAAATCCAACCAAAAATGTGGGAGGGCTGGTTTGATTGTGTATTGTGTTGGAGTACTTGTGAGGTGGGAAATAGAAGTATTGAAGAGGGGTTTTGATGTTGGGGTTATTGAAATCTTATTTGGTGGAATTGTGTTTTGGTTGTTTTAAATGAGTTATCATATGCATGTACATATGTATTAGGGTAGAATTGATGAAAGGAAGTGTTGTGGAACGAGGAGATGAGTATTGAAATGGTTGGGTTGAGAGAAATCCAGAAATTTGGGTGAAATCGCAGTCATGCCATGAGAAAGGTTCTAGAATAGCTGGAGTTTTCTGGGGCAAACTTTGCCGCGACGAAGAAGCGATCGAGAAATCTGTGTAGTTGGGTTTTGGGATGCATGAATGAATGAATATAGGACTTAGGTTTGAAGCTTATTTGGGTTGTGAGAAGAGAAATGAGGCCCAATTAGCTTGTTGGATATTTGGATTTTATTAAAATTGTTGGCTATTAAGGATTGAGGTTATTTTACTCTTTGGGCCTATTGTAACTGGACTCTGAATATGGACCAGTCATATATTTTGAGTATTGGGTTTTATAATTAACTGGTAGGCTTGATTGTGCTGGCCTAAAAATTAATATGGCCTAGATTTCATTGGTTGGATTTTTGGGTTTAAATTGATTGGTGGGTTGACCTATCATTGTTTTGGCCTAGTTATATTGATGGGTTTTATTATTTGGTGGTGGATTGGCCTATTATTAACAAGGCCCAGATTACTGTGTTTTGGGTTATGTATTTGACTGTAATTGGTGGCAAGATTCCCAAGGGGTAGGTTGTCATTCTTGCAAACATTAAAGCATAGGTAGGGGGTTAATTGTAAGGATTTAGAAACATAAGGATTTAAAAGACAAGAAGTTGAACGTAAGGATTTAAAAGTGTAGGGGTTTGCCTGTGAGGATTCAAAGGTTCAAGGGGTTGATGAAGGATATGAAATGTTTGGGACTAAAAAAGAAATGTTTGGGACTAAAAATAAATGAAAAATATAGGAGGTAGATTGATATTTTACATGTTCGTATCTTGGGACGTTACACTCGTTTTTACATGCTGGCGTTATTAAAAACTATATGACACACATATTTAAATACTTACATGAAGGCATGTAATATCATTGAAGGTTAGGAAATTTAGAGGTATGATTATGGAAGTTTTATTTCGGACTGTAACCACCTTTTTAGTATCCGTCCTCTTCCAGACTTCAGCTAGCACTTCTATTTAATCTCATGTGCACAATGAGATGGTCCGTACTATCGAACAATGATGACATCCTACGAGGACAATACAAATGCCTAATGAACTCTAGGCAGGATTGCACCCAGCGGGTATTGACTTAGGTAGGATGATGATTACACCAAGCGAATATTGGCTTGGCCTAAGTGGATTATGAGACCCCAAGGATATACCTTGTGTGGGATTTGATGGGATTACACCAGATGGATATTGGCCTAAGTGGATTATGACACCCCAAGGATATACCTAAGGTGGGATTTGACGGGATTACACCAGATAGATATTGGCCTAAGTGGATTATGACACTCCGATGATAGACCTTGGGTGGGATTTGATAGGATGACACTAGGTAGATATTGGCTTAAGTGGGATATGATTAGCCTCATGCACGCATTGAGATGACTCGTACTACCAAATGATGACGACCCTATACCATCCTACTAGGATAGGACATGTGCTTGACGAGCTCCAAGCGGGATTACACCTAATCTGTATTAGCTGAGTGGGATGATTATTTCACCAGGCGGGTATTGTCCTAAGTGGGATTGAGATCATTTGAGCAGGTATTGGCCTGAGTGGGATTGAGATCATTTAGGCAACTATTGGCCTAGGATGGCGCTCTAAGCGAGTATTGGCCTAACTAAGTAGCTAGTTTATTTGTTTGTATTAGGGACTGAGAATCGAGATTTACAATGTAGGTCTTTAGGTACTAGAGTGGTGGTTATAGTGGTTGCATTAACTGAACGAGTGGAAATTGTGAATACCTATTAGGTATAGGCTGGGGTGGAATTTGTGAATACCCAGTAGGTATAGGCTGGGGTGGAATTCATGGATACCTAGTGGGTATAAGTTGGGGTGGAATTTATGGATTCCTAATGGGTATGGAATTTGTGGATACCCAACAGGTATAGGCTAGGGTGGAAATTGTGGACACCTGGCGAGTATAGGCTTGAGTAAGAGTGGGTTTTGTGTTGAGAGATACATACACAGCCTTGGTGATGGTGGCATTGATTTATGTGATTTTTAATATGAACAATCCTTGGTATTCAAAAAGCTGGTACGAGGGTGTTAATCTCTCATTTGACATGAGTTGGTACAATTTAAGGTTCTACGGTATCCAAAAGTTATATTGGGTTATTGTTGTGTCATTAAGTGAGTGGCTATGTGCTGCATGACATACAAATAGTTTTCCTCATGCACATTTTTAAAAGTAAAAGCTAATTTCGTATATAACTATATTATCCACTCATTAGGCTTCTTAACTCACTAATTTATGTCCCGCACAATGTATATACCACAATTTAAATG